ACCTAGGACCTATACTCTCCGGACTCCTGCTGTCTGGGTGTTATGAACTCCTGACCCCTGCATCCTCTGCATCATGCATTCCTGACCCCTGCGGTCTCAGTGTTGTGCTCCCCAGAGCCCTGCACTATAGACATGATGTTGTACATTCCATACTCATGACCATTGCACTCTAAGTACATCATTTATGAATTAGGTTCTTCTTTAAAGTAATGTTGTGCTTGTCTGTTAAGCTGGCCATTCACCGCTCACATTTTAGCTGATTCCTACTGAATCAGCCCAAATTGGAGCTGTGGGTAACCCTGTCAGAACCACACAGTGACTTTTGGCATTTTAGGGGCCATGGGAGCAGCAGCTGCTGAATACAATAGCCACCAGCATTGATTCCCCTATCCACACAGTGTGGCATGGATGTAGGAATTTATTGATTTCTAGCAGAAATCTAACAGTGTGTATCAACATTAACTGAAACCTGAAAGCTTTTGCGAAAAAAAAAGGCAGGCAGAGGGCAAAGGATTAAAGTCACCAGCATTATATCAAATACAGTATGCCCTGTGGTTTCCCTGCAGCTGATCTTTTCCCCATTTTTGACTTACCGTACCTTGTTCTGCACTGTATCTTTGTGTGGAGGTGGCCAGCTTGGTAGAAGTGAGCAGAACAGTGACAGTGAGCAGAACAGAGGCAACATCACCAGAGCTCACACATCTTCTGAGACTAGCAGTCAGAGGCAGATGTGCTCTTAGCTGGCCATACACCAGTAGAATGTTGTTTTAGTTTGAAAATCCGTTTTTAGAATGTTCATTCAATTTTCTAATAGTTAAGGGGGCCAAATGGATGATCAGTTTTGTCCGTTGTGACGAACAAAAGTCAAAGGAGCGGGATGGACATTTTTCTTCAATTAACAAAATTCGAGCAAGGAATGTGATTTTTCTTTGGGACACTCCATTCAATTTTGAAATCGGATGTTGATGACGAATGCTCTGATGAGATTTTTCGTATGAACGTTAATGCAAAAATCTACCAGTGTATGGCCAGCTTTATTTTCACATTGCAAATATACAGCTATGAGACTGCATACAGAGGACTTCAGGGCCAAGATACATACCGGGAAGTACCCTGCTATTTTTTTTAGGAAACATTTCAGACAATAGGTACATTTTTTATGGCACTGCTTAGGCACAATCAACATTTCTTATATTCCTTATGACTTAACAAATCTTTACTTTTTGAGTTCTGTTCCATTTTAAGCCTCTCTTGTTCAGGCTCTCTCCCTCCCCCTCTATTTATGTAGGTGAAAACTATATTGAGAAAGGCAGTTCATTTGTATCTGTTAATTAACACATTAACCTACTGACAGGATAGAGTAAAGAATGCTTGCTGTCTATGAATATCCTTAGGCAGTCCGTGTAAACTGGGGTGGTAACATTTTGTATGATAAGAATGAATAACCCCTGGAATTATTAGAACACTATGGAAGAAAGCCAAATTGATTTTTACAGGCATATTGTCAAACAATTAACCAGTTGACATCCGCGGTGTTAAACCCCCTTCCCATCCAGGCCATTTTTCAGTATTCAGCGCTGCGGTACTTTGACTGACATTTATTCCGTCATGCAGCGCTGTACTGAAATGAATTTTATACCCTTTTTTGGGGACAGATAGAGCTTTCTTTTGGTGGTATTTATTCACCACTGGGGGTTTTATTTTTTTACTATATTAAGGAAAAATTACCGAAATTTAAAAAAAAAAACAGTTTCCCCTATATTAAATGATAAAACATTTATTATTACCCAATTTTTTGGTAAAATATAAAAGATGGGGTC